TATATATATATATATATATATATATATATAATCTTTTTTAATTTTTTTAAATAAATTTTATGTATTCATTTTCAAAAAACAATTTTTATCAAAAATAATAAAAAATAATAAAAAAATAATTAGAAAAGTAAATAAAATAATTATAAATACAATAATTCAAATTAATTTTGTATTTATATCTTTCTTTTTATCAAGAAAAAGAAAAAAGAGATAAAGACATGCATAAAATATCATTATATTAATGTATTATTATATATTAGATCCAAGTCCTGGTAGATTTAAGTAAAAATTTATTGAAGACATAAAGTGTTCGTAACATAAGTTTATGACAATGTGTGATCGTGCGCATCTATAAATTTATCGGTATCATTAATTTGTAAGTTATATTACATAAATCGTGATAAACGCATACGGTCCAAATACGTATGGCTACACAAGATTATAGTGCGTAATTTTTTTATATACATTTCATGTATGCGATATACATGTATTATTTATTACGAATAATATATATACATTAAGATCTTATCTTTCTAAAATAATAATGTACCTCACATACATATGTAATATACATGTATTATATGACAAATATTATGTATATATATATATATATGTATGTATGTATAATGTATACATATACTTGTTTTTTATGAAAATTCCCCTCTTTATTATTCTTGACCCGCATTTGGGCTTTAGTATCAATCCACGTCATAGCAAACGCAAAATAAACACAATCCTTCAAATCTCTAACTTTGTACTCTGCTTGTTTTGTTTTCATAAACTAAACTGTTATTTGGTATTGCAATGATATTAAAAATAAGATAATGAAATTTTTTATAGTTTATTCTTAATAACGTACAGTTACTGCACACCCTGTGATAAATATACAGTTAAGTTGTATTTTCATTTAATACTTGAGCGGCGAACAAGTTTTTTTCAGTTAAATGTGTTACGATCATATCAGGAACGTATAATCGTTGACACGGCAAATAACCGGTTATATATCTTTACGATAGATAAAAACAATTTAGGCGGTAGTCACGATATGAAAAAAATTTGTTCTTAAGTTTATGCGTTCTATGTACACGGAGATGAAGGTTATCGACGTTTAATAAGGAAGTACAATCTTTCACACGAAGATGTCCTATTGCAAAGCGTCTCTATCGTATTATGGGACGCTCATCGATAAAAATTTTCATCGATAACCGACTCTTAACTGCTAATTCTCAGAAGACGTCCTGTTGGATATCGTATTTATTCCTCGCACAAAAGAAAATCCTTATGCGAATATATTAATATCCCGGGCAGATATCATCGCTAGAATGATAGTCCTTTCACGTGCTGCCGTCAGCCTCTCCACGACGAAATGGCGGATCTCATGCCACTTTCATGTATATCGTACGTTCTCGCATCTTGCAGTGTTTGAGCTCCTTGAGCGCTCGTTGCGCTTCACTGGGCGATGAAAAAGCGACGCGCGCATCTCCCGTCGGCATGCCCCTCTCGTTATAACGGCGAATTACGTTTTCTCGTTTTACATCAAAATCACCGAAAAATTCAATAATCTCGTCGATGTCTGCCTTGAACGGCACGTTCTCCAATGAGAGCACGCAGCCAGGTTTACCAAAACCTTCGACATAGTCCATGGACGGTGGGTGGCGGCCTATCATATGACGCGGCATACCCATTAGGCCACCGGGCGGGCAGCGGGGTCCGAAGCCGGTATTGCCAAAGCGCAGCATATGGCTCATCGGACCGGAAAAGCGCGGTGGTCTCTGATGTTGCTCTTGCATCGGGAAGTGTTGCTGTTGCGTTTGCTGTTGCGCTTCCATCATGCCAAGAGTTTCAAGCATCTTGACGCGTGGTACCAACTCAATAGTGGGTATATTCTTACCAAGAGGTAAACCGTTCTTGGCGATCGCGCGTTCAGCCTTCTCGGCCGAGTCAAATTCGCAGAAGCATTCCCCAGCTGGTTTACCCTGTTGATTAAGCATCATGTGAATGCAGAGCGGGACAATGCCGATGTCCGAGAAGAAGTCGAAAATGTCGCGATCAATCGTTTGGAATGGCAAACCGCGCATGAGGATACAATCCGTCTGATTCATGCTCGTCTGTTCATGTTCGCGCTTCGCCTGTGCAAACTTCTCCTCGCTGATCGCAGTCGCAGTTACCGGTTTGCTACCGATCTTAAGCGGCGTATTCAATGACGACTTGGCGTCCTCGAGTCGCGCGAATTGCACGTAAGCTATACATTGAACAGTGCCGGTGGTCTCTTTGCTATTCGTGATAAAGAGATCGTTGATTTTCCAATCGTGGAATAATTTGGCTATATCCATCTCCTTGGTAAAGGACGGTAAATCGGTCAGCAAGATGCACATAGAATTCCTAATGTCACCACCATCGGTTCCATCCTCCCTACTCTCGGGAGAATAAGAATTGACCGCTTTATCAAAGATACTTTCATCCAAATCGAGTACCTCTACCTCGGAACCTCGCACGTATCTCGTCGTATTGAGCGCGAGTTCTTTGCCCTCAGCCTTACCAAATTTGATATACGCGATGCCCACGCGATTACCGTGATTGTCATTGATCATCTTCATGCCGTCTTTCCTAATATAGATACCATGAAATGCGTGGCGTAGATCCGCATATGTTGCGCTCAACGGCATGTTGCGCACTTCCACGCAGTGGCCTCCACCATTACCGTTCTTACTTTCGTTAGAAAACCTCGAGTTACCGGACTTTCTGCCAGACGTCGGGCGATCATTGTCATAATTGCTAAAATTGGAGGCGCCAGCTTGGAACGCGTGTGGATTACGGCGGCCTTCGAGTTCTTGTACCTTATTTAGAAAGGGATTGTTTGGTCTAGCACCACGATAATTGCCGGCAGCATTGTATTCCTGATTACCAAATTGATTCGATCGTCCGGAAAATCGCCCGGTCTGATCCATTCTGCTCTGCTCGTTTTGGTTCCAAGGTTCCTTGGGACGAGTCCCGAGACCGCCCAAGCTAGGCAGACTGGTAGCGGTATTTAGATTTTGTGATAACGATGTCATGCCCACTGTATGACCGAGCGTCTGCATGTGCGGTTGCATGAGATTCCCAACGCCGTTAAGACCGTTTATCGAAAACTGTCCGGATTGCAGCATCGGCTGCTGACCCATCACAGGTGTGCCGAAGCCAGTCAGGGTTGAACGTTGAGTCTCCGAGTCTTGAGGCAGAGCGGCGACACCGGCGCCTAAAATACTCGGCGCCAACAAAGCGGCCTGTATTTGCGTTTGCGGTGGAACTTCCCATATGCCATTCTCGAGCGGCTTTTTCGATGTAGCCGCAGCTGTAGCCTTGTCCTTGTGAAATTGACCGACGCACACGACCTCGCTGTTATCATCCTCGTTAGTATCTTTACGCCTATCGTTCGTAGAATTTCTCTTCGAATCGCGGTCGCGCGATCTCGTGCGATCACGCGACCTGGACCGGTCCCGACGACGACGTCGGTCTCGTCTATCACGTTCCCGGTCTCGCGATCTACTGCGATCCCGTCGTCGTCGATCTCTCCCACGATCTCGATCGCGACGATCTCGATCACGGTCGCGATCGCGTGATCGCGAGCGATCCCGCGATCTCGATCGGTCGCGTCTATCCTTTCGATCCTTGCTGGATTCGCTATCGTTATCCTTGTCCCGTTTGTCCGTCGGTGATCCGGGCTGCTTACCAGGAACCACAGGCGGTACTGTCACCGATGCGGTTTGCATGATACATTGCAAACTTAAAGTCTGCTGCCGAGCGGCCTCGATTACCTTTTGCATCTCGGTACGTGAACTCAATAATAGTTTAATCTTCATCTCCTTAATTTTGCCACCATCGTGCATCATTGCCTGTCGGGCATCTTCGTCGGTACTGTAAGAGCGAACGACGTTTCCGTGAGATTTACTTTTGCATTGCAATTTGTTTCAATTTATAATATATAAATTTGTAAGGAACCTAAGCTCGTATCCAAATTTACTCTCTTTTAAAAAAATTGCACGTATCTTAATATTTCTATTAGAAATATTAGTTAGAAATACAATGTACAACGAGAAATAATCATCTTAAAAACGGATACGTTGATATGTTAATATATTTTTCATTTAATAGAAGTCGCGTACGAATGTATATTTAGTTTTATCTTTACATAATTTAATATCCTTTTAGATATCCAACAAGCGAAAATAAAAAGATAATTATTATATTATTACTATAATTAATAACATTATAATTAATAACAAAATGTAATAATGATTGGAAATTATCTTTTTACTTTATGTACTTTCGATAACTTGTTACAGTTTTTAACTATATAATTTACAATAACAACAGTTAATATACCATTAATTTTCACTGCATTAAAATTAATTAGAAATCAAGCAAAAAAATGTACCGTCTTTTACTAAAAATCATAAATAATAATTATCATTAGTAAATATAATTTTAACTGTATGTGAATGATATATAAGATAATCTGACATTTGTATAGAATGTTCTATTCGAGAAATGTACGATAGCAGATTTCTGTCTGATTTTATGAGTTACGATAAAGTAATTCAATAATCACATGAAGTGTTCGCGTTATTAGTTGATATATACATATTAAGCGAATACAGGAAACAGGATATATGCGCACTTATTATGTTAATGCTATAATCCTTCTCTTAGAGCAACAGGAATTCATTAGTTACCTGAATGCGATAAACGCATCTCCTAACTCGCCACCGACAATATGGACTCCTCCCTCTGGAATACTCAGACCCCTGAAAAACTGGCGTATGTCCAATGCGTTGGCGGACCATGCCAGATTTTGTAGCCTTATTATGACACTCATTTTCAAAGGTTGTTCGATGTTTATATCTGCAACCGAACCGAGAGGCAACGAAATTAAACGACGCAGAGAAGAGACATCCTCGACGTACCTATGTCGAAGCTATAGCCAAGTTGTTCACTGTTAGCAAATTTTTTGATTGTTGAGGATATATGGCAAATATTTTCGGTGTACATGTATTTGTATAAAAAAAGCAGAAAGGTACATTTTTTTTTTCAGAAATATGTCTTTATTTACTTTCACGTAACATTGTAATACCCCTCTTTGGGAAATAGAATTTAGTAAATTAACAGTTTATACATTAAATTATTATTTACACATATATTACAAGCTTTAATAATAATGCTCGTCATTTTCAAGATTCTTTTATTACATTACATTGATTATTCATATTCATATTCTATTTTGTGTGTGTGTGCGCGCGCGCGCGTATGTGTGCGTATTCATTATATCAGTGATTGCTATTCTTTTATCTGTCTCTGATTATTTATATCTCAATTGTCTTGTCTCCTCTCTTTACCTCTTTACCTCATTCGAAATGAAATTGACATTTTTGGACTTTTTCTTCTTTTAATTATTTTTTTGCTTTATTTTTATGTGTAAAAAAACATTTCAGGTCAAAATAAAAATTCTTTGGTTTTTCTTTTTTTTTGTCTCGAATAAAATTATCCTAAATTTAAAGGAAACTGAACAATGGCCATAAAACACTGCACTGTAATAATATTGTTAATAAATCGATAAGTCTTAATTTTATCAATTTATATAAATCTGCGATTCAAGTTTACATGTAATGTGGATGTATTTATCTTTTATTTTAGATAATTTAATTTTTTTTATTGCTTACATTTATATGAGACCATATCCTATGTGTTACAGAGATGACTACATTAAAAAATATCGAGGTAAACGAGAGTTTGTCTTTTCTCTCCGTTCTTATCTGAAATGGATATTTTAATTGTTGTAATGAGTTTTCCAATAGATCAAATGAAAAATTATTTCTAATTTTCGATCGAACTTATGAATGTACATTTCTCATGTTTATGCTCAATATATCGCTGTATCGCTATGCATACATTGTACAATTTGTGTAATGTATGCATGGCGAATAAAGTTTCTCTGAACCGATTAAAGCGAATATAATTATATGAACAAGATAGAATATGACGAAGCGTCTCCTCAATTGGACAAACAATATGAGCTGATCAATTCTGGCATAATAATTATCGTTCCACTCATTTATTTCATGCAAAAATAGAAATGAATGACGAGATACTGTTCTAAATTATTTATTATAATTTTTTTATTCATTTAATAGGACTGCTAAGTTGATAAGATACGCAAGAGTAGACACGTAATTGAATCGGATAGTTGAATTTATTAGCTTGAGAGGTGTTTCGATGTTATTTACATGAAAAAAACGTACACTTTAAGCATTTTAATCGTATGCGTAAAATAATTATTTAAATATTTCACGGTTGATGAGATATTAGTTTCAGAATCTCGATGAAAGTCTTTTATAAATTTATACTTGTTTCGATCTCTTTCAAAGAATGCGATTAGAAAAAAAGAATTTTTATCTTAAATATAATGAAGAGGGAGTAATTAATGATAAAGAATTCAAGTTCATGAGCAAATTGATTTCATTCTCATAAAAAAATAAGAATAAAATAAAGTAACAGTGCTACAATTAACGTATAAACTATTTCTTTATCTTCAGCTTCACAAATGCAACTGGATGCACATGAAAAATAGAAAATATCTAAAAAAAAATTACAGCCAGCACATGTGCACCCGATGGCTTTATTATTATTAAGTAAATTCCAATGGCATCCAAGTTTTGGCAGAGGAATCTTCCAACATATGTAAACATGTACACAAACCATTCACATGTGTTATAATCGTACATCACAACAATTAAATTATTAAGTTTATTCTTTTTTTTATCAATTGTAAATTCTTTAGACACTCTTAAAAAATATATGCATATCTTGAGCGTAGATTGCAAATTTAAGATATAAACACTTTTATGAATAAATATGGATATTAATAAAAAAAATTTTACTTTTTAAAAAAATTTACTTTTTAAATATTATGTGTAACGAATTAAATGGCAATATTTTTATTTGTAATTATACATGTAAAAATAGATTTATGTTATTATTTATATTATTGATTTTTAAATGGAAAAAATTTGAATTGAAAAAGAAAATTTTTTAAGTATAAAAGTACAAAGATCTATCATTTTTGCAGCAAAAATTTAAATTTAAATAAATCGGATAAAAGGATAAAACATCAATCGCTTTGCAAAATAGTTGATGTACTATAATTGATCATTTAAATCGAAGAACTAAGTGCGAAGAAAATAATGCGCATTTAGTTATTTATTTGTAAATAAACGCAGTCCGATCTTTAAATGGGTCAAATTAAAAATTAAACGAGAAAATAATTTTTATTCATAAAGATAAATCTAAAGATATCTACAATTTTAAAAGTTTAATTTTTAAATATTTAAAATGATAGATTAAATGGAAACGAAATAAATTTTTCTTTTTTTATAGAGATAGTAAAAGTGAGATTGAGGGGAAAATAAGTTTTCGTTGGGCGTTCTCCAGTTTCATTCTGTACATATTACTCGGAAGTCGTCGCATTTCGGCAACTATAATTAGAGTAGTCGTCATAACTGATAATTTTCACGCCGGAGATAATAGTCAGCAAACTCTTGAATCCCTGATGACTATATTGCAATCGATATTGCAATCGATATTACTTATTCCATTGTTGCATTGCTGTGACTAGTCATGATTCGATCATTATAAAACAATATTCTAAGATGAATAATTTGACACAAGTGGCTGGAACTGTGACGAAATGACGAATATGTTTTCACGTATATTAGCATAACTTTAAAAAACAACCAAGATATCACAAAATTCGAAACGTCTAGTAATTCATGCAAATTTTTGTAGGTGATTCACGCAAGCATATATGAAGATTCTTTCTGAGATAAACTCGGAATCGCAGAGAAAGAAATCGTCGACAATCTTTCTGGATTAAATGTTCGGCAAACTTCCTGTTGTTTTAAGACACGCAAAGTGCCAGACACGTGTCTGTCTCTGTTGACGAGCAATGACGATGCCGTTCGTTCCATCTCTTCAGCTTCCCTCTGCCACAAACTGCTGAATCCTCATTCGACGAGATCGGGCAAACAAAGGGGGGGGGGGGGAGGAAAAAAAAGAGCAACAATTGTATTCTGCTTGTTCGGAATAATTTCGTGAATCCTACAAGGATTAAACGAATCAGTTTTGTTGAACACATATGTATAACGCTTCTCCCGCATTTATCCTATTATTATTATTATTAACGGCATCTTCTTCAGAACGGAGAAAAAATTAGCACACTTCGCATTACATACTCCAAAAATAATACGATTCAGTCAGAATTGTTCAGGAGTATTTCGAAGTAAATAGGAGTGCTTTTGACGAAAATGAAAAACCAACTCGTGCAGTCATAAAGTGTTTAAATAAGATTATTCGGAATCGATCGACACAACAAAAATGAATATATGACTTGTCTGCGATGTCTCATCACACTTAGTAAAATATTTTCTAAATGTTTTAAATGTTTTAATAATATAAAGTAACAGAAAAATAGAGTACAAAATGTTATAAAGCTGGAATTTGAATATATCTATTTAAAATTTCAGCAACATTGGTACGATATGTAAGATAAATACAAATATATATATATTTTCATAATATATATTTATATATTATGTAAAAAAAGTAATGAATATTATATAAAAAAAATATATAATTATTATATCTTGTCATTTAATATCTTTTTTTATATAATTTTGACCAAATAAGGCAATAAAAATATAATTGAGTATTACAATCAGAATTCAATTATATTTGTTTAAAATTTACGTGATATCGATAAGTATGATATCAATATAGTGAATAATATGATATCAATCTATCTAGAATAATTTTAGAAAAATGTTTGTTTTAATTTTGCATTTAACACGTGTCAAGCACAAAATTAAAAAAACATCTATAATATTTCATATATATATATATAAATATAAAATAATATCAAGAGAATATTCTAAGTTACACCTTTCTTCTTTTATACATTAGTAAACGTCTCATAACGTGATATTTGATATTTCAAAATGTAGCAATAGAGCAATTATGAAGATATATAAAAACGCAGGGGAGATTTGAAGGTAGAAAATCATATATATAGATGCGAGTTGTTGCGACTCCTGTGTATCCAGCTCAAATACCATAAAGATTATGCAAACATAAGCCAAACATTTAAAATCATGTATCGGCCAGCTACATGCAACAATGACAATTGCAGTCGCCAACTTTTTGTTCAAACAATCCGAATTCGAATTCGCAGCTGCATCAATTTACGCTTTAGAATGACATAATATATTGTGTCCGTCTCCCTTTCACCAGCGATCATTCCTAGTCAAGTATAAAGATACCTTTAGATTTTCTCTCATTGAACACGTACCATATCATAATGTTTTTTATTTATATAATAGCATTCTGTTCTAGCATTATTATACAACAAAGGAAAATGATCGAAAACTCCATTGGCACTAATCACAAGAACGAGGTAAAAGGAATAAATCTCAGTTTAATGGTGTATTTGGTGATATAGCATATTAGACAAGAATCGAGAAAATCGATCGATTGTAAGACCTGAAATGCATCATGCGCAATTCGATTCCAAAATATTCGCAACGATGGAAGTAAGTCGATAAATCACGGCTGCACCAACGTACTTCAGTCATCCGTTGCTGCTTCCTTCCTGCATTATGTATGTACATATGTTGCAAGTGATCTACATCAAGATCATTTAAAAACAAAAGTGTATCGTTGTGTACGATAGTTGGACATTGACTGTCATTAAAATCGGAGATCTCGGTTCAATGGAATAGAAAAAAACTGTTTTATTGAAAGTTGATTTATTTTTTAATATATCACTGTTTAGAGATAACAGTGATAATAACAGTATAATAATCTTGCGATTTCTTAGTTTATTTTTTGCAATGATAATTTCATTTTGTGAATGTGCATCGCGAATTATCGTCAAGATAAATACGTAGAGCGAAAATTATACAAAAATTAGGAGAGGGTTTTATCGTATTTCTACATGCATTTTTAAGATATTAATACGATATTTATGATGGAATTATGACATTTTTTTTCTGACGTTTAGATTGTTTTATTGAATTGCAATTTAGATTACGATTAACTTATTTTTACTTTTCAAGATTTTACACGTTTATAGTATCTTCCACGTTTATTTTTTAGTTTTTTTAGTTTTTGTACTCGTTAAATAAACTTTAATCTTTTTATGTTTTAATGCGGTATGGATAACGGATCATATTGGAAACTGATTCGATGAACATTGTAACATTTTCTGACATAGTCAAATGTGAACAAGAAGCAACGAACTCTCAGCTCCCACAGAGTAATAAATCTGCATTTCACGTAGGAAAGATTAGGGAAGAATAAAGCGCACAATAAATATTTCATTCGTCATTAGTCATATTTTTGATTTTAAGATTTAGTTTTCGCTTTTAATTTAAATATCTCGATTTTTTTATATTGCAAAATATTTTAATTATAAATATTTAATAAATGCAAAATCGATTTTTTCCTACCGAAAAGTGTTAGTAGAAAATATTATAAATTTTTATCAGGTTAATTCAATATTAATTTATAATTCTGTGGTATCCGTCTTAAGAATATTTTATAATTTAAAAATATCAAAAGTCTTGAGCTTTATTACAATAGAAAATTTTTGTAGCTTTTAATAAAATATATATTAGTTAATTATTATTGCACAGAGTTGGCTTGTCACCATGACAAACCAAAACTTACCTTCGTTCATTAATGAAAAAAAGCTATGTAATAATTTTCTGTAAGTTGTATAAAAAAAATTAAAAATTTTATATTACCAGATATAATAAAGGACAGAATAAAAAAACTGATTCATAAATCTTTAACTAAATATAACTTGTTAAAAAGATGAAAAATTTAAGATAAAAAAATAAAATTTATTGAAAAAAAGCAGCTGTTCATTTTTTTAATACTATTCTCTATCTAGAATAAGAGTTAATATCTAAATAAGAGTTTTGAAAATTTTATAATTTAAAAAGTTGTATATTTTTATCATTATTTTTTATGACTAGATATAGTTTTATTGCTTTACAAAGTTAGTAAGTTTAGCCTATTATCCAATTTAGCATGTTTAATAATAATATGACAGAATCGGAGATGAAGTCCATTATATGTTATGGAGGACATATATGATGAGATACTATGTAAATATAAATCATGTCATCCATTTCATTTACATATTTTTAAAAAAACTTCTTTATTTTTGTAAATTTATGACTATAAGTTACTTACCCTTGTAAGATGTAAGATTCTGAATATATAGCAAAAATAAAATCATAATGTATAGAAACAATACACACATATGTAAATAGACATTTACAGAACTCTTGAAAATATGATAGACAATTAAACGTTATCTGCGTAGTAGAATCACAATGGTTTCCTCCAAAATTATAAACTAAATTTATTATGTAATTTAGCATTACCTTTCAGGCTTTAGAAACTTCGGAAACTTCTTTCTTCTTTACACTGTTTCTCCCTGTCTCTCTTTTTCTCTCTTTCTCAGCTAAAACGTACGACGAAAGATAAGAGTTGATCGACAACAAAGATGACCAAGCAGCAAACCACTCATCAGCGAAGGACAACGAAATGTAGAAGCAGAAAGTTCTTAGTTAACTGCACCATGTCATTGTACAAAACCCACTGAGAAGACCAATTTGTCCTCGACACCTAACACACACCGAGTCGTCTAAAGCCCTGCAACATATATCAAGGTCCCCCTCACTGTACCTAAACAATTTTACAGTAATTATAAAATGCATCTGCATTATTCATTTCTTATTTTCAGGGCAATTGTACAAATTGCAAACTTGAATTTGTTCCTTTCTATTTCTTCAAACATAATTTGCTAAATTGCTTAAATCTTTAATACTAAATATTCTTATACTTGTTTTGTAAACGCTTATCAATGCTTGTGTCTAGGAAATATGATAATTGTGAAATATTTTAATGGATATTTTAATGTACTTCCTTTCAAGACGCACACATATACACATATAAATACTTGATTACCATTAAATATTATATTCTTTAAATACAAGGTAATATTATAGATAATTGTAAAATGCAAATATAATTGTATATAACAAATTTATGTATTTAAAAACAGAAAAATTGAATAAAACATTAAGTCAATATAGCAGATCCTAAAAAATTACTAATATTTGAACAAGAAGTAAAAATGACTCCTTGATGTAGAAATATTTGTTTCTTTTGGAAATAACAACACCATCATTTCACATTTCCACATCTATTTCTATCATTTCTTTCAATTACTTTCTTTGAAACTTGTTGAAACAAAGCATTTTTATTAATCAGATTTATTCATTATTCTAGTGACATTGATATCAGAAAATGATACAGATTAATAAATTATTAACTCAAACAGATTTTTATATCTTCACAACTTTTTTAAAATTATTTGGAATACTTAAACAATTTTTTTCTCTTTTAAAAATGGATCAAATTTTTTCAAGTTGTTTCACATCCACTTTATCATGAGAAGTTAAAACAATTAGTAACAGCTAATATTCAAAGTATTCTGTAGCGCATAATGAAATTCTGTATTTTTATATCCTGCTTAGATAACAAATATAGAGATGTAATAAAAATTAGTCGCAACGAAATGAAATTTCGGAAGGTTAAAAGCTTCAAGTATCCCATGGCAATCCCTATTTATGTATTGACTACTAGCTATATCAATGTCTTCCGATAAGAGGAAATTGTAAGAGAATTGCAATTCGCAGAATGTCATAGGGGTTGCCGAACATGATGATGCGGTAGAAAATGTATTACAACAGACAAAACAAATTTCAAAAAATACGTTGTAGATAAAATCGTATGATTTTCTGATTGTGCTCAATCCATCATTGTGGCATCGAGAAATGGAGGCAGAGAGATATATCGGAGAATGAAATATCGACGTACAGCACGTTAGAATATTCGACTCACCGAATCGCTACGCGGAAGTGAAGTGGAGTGTTTCATGAAGAAAAACGCTGACTACAAACGGCGATAACAATTTGCGAACGCGCGACGAACGCAATCGATCCTGCGCCTCGATGAATTCGTGAGCGTGGAAAAGCGTCGAGCGTCGAAATGGCGACCGTACGATCGCCGTGCGGATAGTCGAGTGAACCCCGTAAACCATCGACCATATGGAATTACTAGTTGCGATATGGACTGACGATTTTCGCATTCTAGACTCTAGAAAATAACTCTAGAAAATAACGTGATGATTTACGCGGTGACCAATCAGTTCACTTCTAGCATGATAAGTTACATAAGATTTGCATTAGTTGGCACTACGAATACCTCGACGGTTCAATTGATCAATCAGGGCAAGAAAAATTAGATTTCTTCATATTGATTAGTCAAATTAAGATCCAATTTCATCAATTTTAGTTAATGTAATTGGCCGATTATTCCATTGGAATTGAACAATCGTATTTGTTGTTAAATTTGTGGACAAATTGCCATTGGTCAATTCCAATAGAATAATCAACCGATTAAATTAACCAAAGTGAAAATAATCTTAAGAGTGACTTTCACCCCAATTACCGGTTAAGTTAATCGGCTGTTTTAATAAAAGTTCTTTATATATGTGCGATAGCTTTTACGATATCTTTACCTAATCTGATCTTTATACGTGATATATTCGTGATCAAACTTTGAAGATACGATATATAAATCAGAATTAATCGTTCGATGACTTATAATATCTAAAAATGAGATATCTGGATATTATTTTATTTAGGAAATAATATCTAGATATTTTAAGAATTAGGGCCACAACACACACTTCCGCAAAATGCATAACGCATAAGAAAATGAACCAATCATAGTTCTCCATTTCTATCCACATAATGGAAATAAAAGATTCTGATTGGTTAATTCTCTTATGCTCATGAATTGGGTGCTTTCCATTTAGTAACACAAGTCGACACAAGTATCGTTCTATCTTTCTTGACTTTCAATGACTTTCAATTAACAAGGACAAAATGATACTTGTGTCGACTTGTGTCACTAAATGGAAAGCATGTAGGAGTCGAAATTGGCTAACTTTAACGATTAATAACTAATTAATAACTCGATTCGCGGGGCAGAGCGACGCTTTTTTCTGTCAAATTCTTTCGTTTTATTATACGCGTCGAATGAGCCTAAATTCATCAAGATCGGAGCAGAGGCCGCTAAACTGAATAATTACTATACAAATTAGGCTCATATTCTGTTTCCTTTGAATTTCCTTTTATCGATAAGTGTCTCTAATAAAAATGGTCTTTAAAATGGTCTCTAAAAACAGCCAATTAAAAAGCTTATGAGCCATTTTTTTATTAAAGGTATTTTTATTGAAAGAAAACTTAGAATGTAGCCCTATATTTATTGTAATACATTTGTACATACATTTAATAGTTAACAAATATGTGAGGCAATGTCACGTCAATGCATAGATTATCTTAAATATTAATTACTTACATTATGCAAATTATGATTATCTATGCTTCTATAATGTATATATAATACTATGTATTTATTCTATTTAAAGAGTGACGTGAGACGTGGTTCGAAAATAGAAGATATGTCGTGCAAATTAGAACTCGTAAAGAAGGTGTTGGAAAGGGTGACGAGCAAAGGTTTTGCTCGATGTTTGAAAGATGTGAGTAATAAATTTAGGCAAATACGCAGTATAACGTTCTCTTTCGACTTTCTTGTAATTTTGTGTATTTTTATGCGTAAAATATATTCTGAGAAGAAAAATCGTTCAACTCCAATTTTTTTCTTATTTCGAAGTTTTCTTGATATTTGAACTTCAACTCACAAAAAAAAATGAAAACTATATCAACTCATAAAAAGAATGAAAAATATATAAATCTTGAATCACAAACTATTCTCTCTATATATAAGAAAATAATTATTAATTAATTAAAGCAGAAAATATATAATAAATATACAGCCACAAATTATCATTTTTTAACTCTTCAACATCCAAAAATCAATCTTTTGAAAATAAAAAGAATCTGGAGCAGCAATTTTCCGACAATTCAGAATATATTCTGTACATGAAAGTACATAAATTTTATACAATTACAGAAAAATCAAAGGAGAAAATGTTATACTGCATATTTATCACGATTTATTTGAACCTAATCTGCAAATTATTTTATATTATTTTGTATTATATGTATATTATATTATATATAAAAATACAATACGTTGCAATATTTGCAATTTTTGTATTAGTTACAAGTGCTGTCAGCAGACGATGGGAAATGTAAAGCGCAATTTATTGTGACTGAAGAGCATGTAAATCTCGGTGGCTTTTTACATGGTGGTTTTACTAGTACTCTTATAGATTGTGTATCTACATATGCACTAATAACGAAAGAAAATTCTCCTCCTGGTTCATCTGTAAATTTGAATGTGACGTAAGGATCTTAATTTCAAATTGTTATTTAAATTATTTTTTTTATTTTGTCATACTTTTACCTATGTACAATAAAATATTTACGCTATTTTGTATCATTCTTTTCTATATATGTTTTGTTAAAGTTTTATTCTTTATGAATAAAAACGTTTATGCAATCTAAGATGAAATATATATTGATTAGAGATTAGAAATTGAACTTTATTATTGTAACTTGTTATCTGTATTAGTAAAAAAAATATGTAGAATAGAATTTATTTACACTTCAGCCATACAGTCAAGACGAGTAATAAGAAAAAAAATGCATGTAATAAATGTATAAATTCTTACATTAGAATGATTTATGTTATAGGTTTTTGAAAGCTGCATTTCCTGGTGAAATAGTGATAGTTGATGCTAGAACTCTACGTGTCGGAAAGAATCTTGCTTTCTTGGCAGTAGAACTTACAAAAAATGATGGTAAAGATATTATTGCTCATGGAGAACACACAAAGTATCTTGGACCGATTAGTAAATAAGTTACATAGATTAATAGTTTGAAACATGTATTGATATGTATATAATAAAGAATATATTATAAATATAGTGTATAAATGTAACATTTTATTGTTTATCTTTTTATATATTTTATTAAATCATAAAAATAAAGTTTTACTAATTAGTATGCAACTTTACATATCGCATCAAAACTTTATTTTTATGATACTAATTAGTATGCAAC